TATATATGTGTGTTTTTATTAATAGTTATATTGAAGGGAATATATGAATGTATGTATATATATATATATATGTTTTTAATAATAGTTATATTGATTTTCCTTTTTTTTCCTTAGCTGATCACATGCCTACATACTAAATAAAGATCAAATATTAAATACATATCACATTTTAAATATCACCAAGTCCTACTTGGTAAATGGTAATAGTAAGAAAAAATATTTATAAAAAAAAATGTACAAAACCATCTTTTTCTAGCCCTCATCATGATATGGATATGCAGAGTGTCCAGTGAAATTTCTCAAGACAATGTAGTTTTTGATTGAAAAACAAGAGTAAAGTGAAAGTATGTAGGGAGGGCTCCTGTGTGGGAGTCGACAGACGGCTCCTGTGTGCTGCTGCTGGTGTCGTCTTACAGTGGCCCTGGACTCAATCCAGCTCCTGTGATGCTGGGGGATGGTGGGCTTCCTGTCCTCACATCTCACTCGCTCCCCCACCAGCTTATCGCTGGGAGAAACTTTGAGGAGCTGGGGTGGGGTCTTCAGAAATAGGCGGGAAAAAATACAGGAAACAAGCCGTGCCTGGGAATGTGGAGAGGCGGTCCGGGAAGAAGACAGTAGCTTGTTTGTGAGAGCGACGTCAGAGTTTGGATCATTTCTGAATGCGTTTATCCCTGCGTTACAAACTCAATTTATTTTCTTCAGAGGCTTCCTCAGGGATTTTACTCCCAGAGGACGTGGGTCAGTAAGCACTGAACTTTGGGAAACAAGGATAGATGACTTTCTCACTTAACTTCCAGACTCGACAGGATCAGGAAGGCGGATGTTGTCATCCAAATAGTAGGGAATTTCAGAGGTCTCTCTACTGTAGTGTTCTTGGGTTTTAAACGTGTGTGGCGCCACCTTGTGGAGTCAAGGTTGTATAGTTTGGAGTGTGACGAAAACATAGGTTAATCATAAACTACAGCTCAGCCATGAACTTCGAACCCATTTTATATGTTTAAAATCTTTCTAGAAAATGTACTGATTTGTGTTCAGTACAAAAGATGTCATTAAAGAGTATTTCTTTTTTAGTTTAGTTGGAGCTTAATGGACAAACCAGAAGAAATAAAAATATAAAAAAAACAGCTAGATGACAGCAGAATTGGTTGGTTTGACCAAGCCTTGTCTGAAAGTAATTTCTGAAAGCTTCAAGTTTGAACGTTTTTACTTAGAGAAGTCAAAGTCAGACAGACCAATAAAAACTACTTCAGACCCCATTAGAGATCTCTACTGGTAGTTGATTGCCATTGTTAACATGTTGCTGGCATGTTAGATTTTGTTAGCATGCATTAACATATTTTTGTGTTGCATAGTTTTACACATTGCTTTAATTTTTACACATCTTAGCATTTCCAACGTGTTTTAGCACATTATTTATGTTGCTAGCATGTTTATTTTTATTTATTTTTTGCATGTCTAGCATGTATGAATTAACATGTTGCTAGCATGTTCCTAGCATGCTTTAGCACATTGCTAACAAGTTTTAGCATGATTTAGCAAGCTTTACAATAATAGCATATAGTGCTGGGCGGTATGACCAAAAATGTATATCACGGTATTTTTAAAAATGTACGATACGTGTCACGATACATTACTGCTCAGCAGAGTTTAGAAAAACAGCTGTTTATTAAACACTATAGTGCCATTTCTAACTATAGGCAGAGCAGGCAGTTGACCTCTGCATTATGAAGGGCCTCCATAAGCTGGGCGGTATGACCAAAAATGTATATCACGGTATTTTTAAAAATTATACCGGTTTCACGCTACATGACGGTATTTTTTTTTTTTCATGCATGACCGGGTGCTAACCATATTTTCTGATTGAGAGAGGAAATACTGCAGTATATTAACTTAGAATGCCCTATTTTACTGTCATAATGAGTGAATATTGTAAAAAAATACCACACGAAATAGTGACTAAACACGACCCCTTTTAATACATGTTAACCAGGAGTCACTCTCATTTATAATCGCGGCATCGTCTGATAAAATCAACATGCATCTACACTAAAGAGCGGCTATGCGGTTGTTTTGGCTTTATTACTTTTCTGTCTCATGCAGCGCACTGCCTGCGTCTGAGTAACAAACTAAAAAACAAACCAAAAATCAGTAAGCGACAGGTGCTAGGAAACGCTATTTTGTACTCATTTATTGACGAGTCTGAATACACTGCTTCTCTGCCGCTCACTGCACAGAACAGACGCCGAGAGAGGTGACACTTCTCCGGTCGTCGTATCGATATTTTGAACACAGCACTAGTATTCGGTATGAACCGGTATACCGCCCAGCACTAATAGCATACAATAACTCTTTTCTATAAGAGGTATGAAGGGTTTGACCCACTCATTGAAAGTTTATGGAAATGTGGACCTGTTTGGAAGTCTGATACTGGAATTCCGAAAGAAAAGGGTTTTCCGTTAGAAAAGATACAGAGTCAGAACATCCTGAAGGTCTGTGCCAAGTTTGCTGGTCATAGCTTAAAAACTCTATAGGATGAGTTAGAAATTTAGTCTCAGAAGAATAATAAGCTTAGTAGATCAGCATGTTGGCTGTTAGATATTTTAAACAAGTCAGTCTGACATCAGTGCAAAAACAGCTTCGACTGGATTGTCCCATTTTGATCAGCGAGGATGAATCTACAGTTCGATCACCCTAGTTTGCAGACTATAGTAGTCTTCTGCTCGGTGTCAGATCAACAGTATAGCAGGATCTCTGCTAGCTGACACATTTCTACATCTGCACAATATGTACAGTCAATCCAGCCGGATCTAATGTGATCCCAGTGCAGTGTGTTCCTCTGATCTATGCTGTCCAGCTGATCCTCGTGGTCCTCCCCTGCTGTATACTCACATGCACACCCTGCCCTTTTCTCTCTCTGTACATTAACGGTTGTTTTGATTCTGTTATTCTGCTTGTTTGCTGCTTTATTCATTTATTTGCTTTTCCCTTGTTTCCTCTCCGTGTTCTTCTTCCTGTTTCCACCCTCCTCAGCCAGGCTTTGTCAGGGACTTGGTAAGTCACTCGTTTGATGGCTGGTAAATGTCCATGACTCACTAACACTGGTGCTGTGTCTTACTCCAGAGATCCTCCCATTAACCACTTTACCATTTATAGCTGTAGCTCACCCCAAAGCTCACATTTCAACTGATTAAACATTTAAGATCATGTTTTGAGTCACTGGTGTCTCCTCCAGAACAGCTGTCTGACTGAATGCCGTTAAAAGTCAAATTATGTATAAGCTCTCATGTGGTGGATATTTTTTTAGAAATATTCAAATGAATAGAAGCAGCTTGTTGTCTCATGACCTTGAGGCTTTTAATGTCATATTAAACCGTAAATCTGTCAGCCCAGTCATTTTTATCGTTTTAAGCATGATTATATCCCAAAATATATTATCTTTCACAATTATTTTGTTATAATAATTTAGATGACGCAATGCAGGTTTCTACGGAGCCCCTAAAAGGACATGGTGATGATAGAAAAGTGTTTGCGTTCTCTCACAAAACTTCGTTCCCCTGAGAAATTTTGAATTTGATTGCAAAACTTTGGCACTCCCCAGATGAACTTTGTGTTCGCTTGAAAAACGTTTGTGGTGGAAAAAAATGAGGTGAGGAAAAACTGTATTTCATTGCTTTTGGAAAGAATGCAAAGGTGAATGGAATAGCTAGAGTTTTCTAGAGAGCAAATGTGAGAGAACGTAAAGTTTCTTGGGGAAACGCAATAGTTTTGCGAGAGAACGAAGTTTCTCGGGGGAACGCACATTTTTTGCGAGAATATAAAATTTCTTGGGCGAATGCAATAGTTTTGCAAGAAAATGGAAATGTTTTGTGAGAGAACGTAAAGTTTCTTGTGCAAATGCAATAGTTTTGGAAGGGAATGCACAGTAGTTTGCGAAACAACTAATAGTTTCTCAGGAGGACGCAGTACTTTTGCGAGCAAATGCAAAAGCATTGAAATACATTTGTGACCCTGGACCACAAAACCAGTCTTAAGTGTCAATTTTTCAAAATTGAGATTTATACATCAGCTGAAAGTTTTTTTCCTCCCATCTCATCGCCATGTCCTCCTAAGGTCTCTGTAGTTTCTACTATAATCAACACATTTGTCTAATAGGATGTTTAAATTCTTATGGAAATCGTTTTTTGAAAAGGCCGTGTGTTTCATTGACTGACCCTTTCAGGAAGTTTATAGCGTGTCACCTGATCCGCTCTGATAGAAGCTTTCATGAGGCGAGTAACTGGTCTGTGGGAGACTCCAGTGACGTCACTCATTTTCTTCTTACGTGAAATGTTTCATGTTCTGGGGAAACGGGGACTAAACGACGGTAGCTGGGATTGCAGTGGCTTCTGTCAATGTATGTTATGCCGCATGTATAGCAGATCATAAGGGATGCTTGAACACGCTGTAACAAGCTGGTCTCGTGTGTTCACTGTGATATTTGTGGTGATTGAATTCAGCATATCATATTGATGTTTCTGGTGTTACATTCTTCTCTGTGCGCGTTTCCTGATGACACTGTGTCATGTGCTCACTCTGACCTTCTGCTTAAGTTATGATGGCTTACAGCACTTGTGTATTAATGTTCACATATGCATTATTCTCAGATTTCAGCCCGTATTCTGGAAGCCCATCAGAATGTGGCTCAGATGAGCCTTATTGAGGCCAAGATGCGCTTCATACAGGCCTGGCAGTCCTTGCCAGAGTTTGGAATCACACATTTTCTTGCCAAGTGAGTGTCTAAACCTGACATTTCTGTCTCTCGGATATCTTGATTTAATGTTTGTGTGCCAATAAAACACATGTCCTTTTTACAATTCACAGCTCATTCCGGTTTTAACATTTTACTCACTGTCATGTTGTTCCAAACCCATACAACTTTTTTCTTCTGTGGTGTAATTATTCTTACCCTCCAAGTGAGCTGTTTATCACAGAAACCAGATCATCAAGTCAGTGAGTTGAACTCAAGAACCAGATCAAGCAATTCTTTGTAAAGATCTGGCACAAAAAATTATTTGTGTGAACTGTCCCTTTAAGAAGTCATTTCCTTATGTCTTCATATTTAATTTCCCCTCATTGCACTTTTGTTGTCTTTTCACAAAATCTGCTCGGATAAACACTGAGCCTGTCTTTTTCTGTACTTCTGTTGGTAATTGTTACATTTCTTCAAACTAGGTTCCAGGGGGGCAAGAAAGACGAGCTGATTGGCATCACCTACAACAGACTGATCCGTATGGACGCCAGCACAGGAGACGCCATCAAGACCTGGCGCTTCAGCAACATGAAGCAGTGGAACGTCAACTGGGAGATTAAGATGGTGAGATGCTCTATTTTTTTGGATGTTGTTGATTGTTGCTAATGGTTATGTTGCTATGAACGAGGCTCCATGTTAACGGTTTCATCAGTTAAATGGCCTAGTAACATAATTAAGGCCATTTGTAACTATGGCTTATGCTTGTTCTGATTGCAGAAGATCTGCTGGTCTTATCTGACATACTGTGATTCTGAGTCAAATAATATACTATGTGTCGCATGTATGATAAGCACCACAGTAATACAGAAAGCCACATGATGAATCAGAGTTCATTGTAAGTGGTCTGTCCATAAAACATGATGATGCACAGGGTCATAAACACAAAACACCATCAGGATAACACACCAAACTACAATAATGCAATTCACAGAAAACAGAGATATAGATAGAATCAAGATTATTTAAATAAAATATGATAATCATGTGATGGGAATGTTTTAACTCATTTTCACGATAAATTATACAGTAAAAGTTAGATTGATAAATAAACATGGATGAATGAGAAAATAAAGCGTGGGATGGATTTATGTCAATATGGTGGATCTGTGCATCAGGTCCTAAAACAGCAGCGGTGTCTTTGGTGTGATTCCTTGGACTCAAATTATCCTCTTTAAAACCTAGAAGGATGCTTCAAAGTTGCCTGCGAGCCAGAGTTTGCCCATGATGACCTTTGATTTGTCATGTCATAAGAAAGGGAGAAAAATAAGGGTTAAAAAAAAAAGAAATATAGTTGGATATAATGCAGCATTTACTTTGAGCACACGGCCCTCACTCAAGTTTGGATTTTGGCGTTTTATAGTTAATTGTTGGGCCACTTCTGCTATTACTGTAAGTGAAAAAATCCCTCAGGTTATTGGCCTGACATATGAAATAATAGCCTACATTTTTTAAATATATGCATATATTTTTTTCTGTTAAATATCATTGGATACATTAGGTTTTATGGCTCATATGGTCTGATATAGTGAGAATATGAAGGAAAAAAACAGCTACATTTTATTCAGAGATTCAAACTGAGCAAAAATATGCAATTTAGTGCAGATGCTTATATATTTATATGATGAAATTCTGATGCTTGTGATGTAAATCAGTGAGATCTTTATAACAGTGCAGCAGATATGACATGAGGAGATTGAGTGTGAAACAGGTTTAACAGCCACGTTTTCATCATGTTGATCATTTAGAGGCTTTATAGGTTTAACATGCAAAAATGGACACTCATCACCTTGAAGCCAAGATCAGCCCCACACATCAGCATCTGCTCTGCTCTCACGCAGGTGACGGTGGAGTTTGCAGACGAGCCCAGTCTGGCGTTCATCTGTGCCGAGGTGGACTGCAAAGTGGTGCACGAGTTCATCGGCGGCTACATCTTCCTGTCCACGCGTGCCAAGGACCAGAACGAGTCTCTAGACGAGGAGATGTTCTACAAGCTGACCAGCGGCTGGGTCTGAGCGCCGCAACACTTCATCCTGCTACTTTCACACTTCTTCTTCTTCTTCTCTCTCTCTTTAACCACTCCATCGTGGCCGCATCATAATTGTTTGAAAACTTGTAATTCTGTTTATGCTTCCCTCCAGAAGTGATTTGAGAGTTTGAGATGAAGCATTAGTAGCTGACCGCTATATATGACCTATATCTATGACCTTTGACCCTCAATAGAAATACGCCAGCTTTGTGCACCGCCGAAATGCCAATTATTTATTTGTCACTAATTTACGTCGTCTCTCTGGGTAGCTGTCGAATGTGCGGTGCTCGTTTGTGCCTATTAATCTGTAATGATAACTGTCGCATTAAAGTGACGTTATAGAGACACTAGAAGGAAATGTTACACTAGCTTTAACGTTGCTGCTTCTGAACGCTCTCGACCGATGAGTAGATGATACTACACTTCAGCTCGGCAGTCTTTGGTCAAAAACCCAATCAGTTTGGTCCTTTCTAAGCACTTGGAAGATAAGCTGTCGCTTGAAGGTTCGTGTGTTCAACACTACATTACATGTAATGAGACAGATATTTTTTTACACTATGAAGGAGAAGAGTCGTCCACTTTTTTTTTGTAGCAACATAGGAGAACATTTATGAATCTGTGGCTCCACAGTCTGCTTTTGAAGGTCATTATTGATTTCCCGTTGTAGGAAGTTTCTTTTTATTATGAAGTCTGTTATTTTATTCATCATGCTTTATTGTGAACCAGTATAGTATTATTCAAAAGCGTTTCTTTAATACGCACCAGCGATAGGTCACAAACCATGCAATTTCCTTTTGTTTTTTTCTTTTCAAAATGAAGGATCGCTAAATGAAGTATTCGATTTTTTTTTTTTTGTATCTAATGTAAAAACCACAGGTTTAAAAAAAAAAAAAAACATTGTACAGTTATTTTGTTGCTGCTTTTTTCTGTCATTTTTGGAAGTGTATTTTTTCCAGAAGAGGGGAAAAAAGCCATTTTTTTGACATTTATGGATTGGTGCCTGACGATCTTAAAGACTTTTAGAAATATATATATAACTGCATATGAAGAAGTGTGGAGCTCCTGGCTGGAATAAAATCATGTCGATTATATCTCTGATGAGAAGGAGCTTCTGCTGGTTTTATTTAGTTTGTCCTTCCTTAACTGATGAATATCCACACTCATTTGATTCTGCTGCAGGAGCGTATAGCCTTTCTGAACGTGTGCCATACACTTCAACACTAATGAAGCACAGCAGAATGGCTCTTTCTGTGCCTGTTTAGTGCATCACTTCTTGTCAGTATTGTCTCCTGTTGTTTCTCCATATGAAGGTGGTTTCAGAGCCAGAAATTAAGATTGTTTATTTGGTTTTGTTTTTCTCAGATGCCAGCAGTGCGTTGCATGGCCTGCTGTTTTAAGATTGTAAAAATGCCATTTACCTGACAAATAAATAAATAAAATCATTTTTATTTAAAATCACAAGAGGACGATTCAGTGTGGTTTCCCCATCATGCAGGCTGTAATGGCCCGTCTCCTCCACAAGAGAGCAGTCTTCAACAAAGTTTGCAATTAAAACTCAAATAAGTGGCTTAACTCAAATTTGGAGCAGGTTTGCTGTCAGCAGTGGCTTGTATCTCTCTATCACACAAATCAGGGGGTTAAACTATTATTTAGACAGTTTGGTAAAGGCATATTAAATGAATAGAAAATAAAGCGGCTCATCAAATATTTAGTTTGAGTTACTAAGGTAGCAAAGCAGCATGCTGAACATTATTCTGTTTAAGCAGCTCTTCATGTGCTAACTGTTTAAACATTTATTTCAGAGTTATAATTGCTATTTTTGGCAGTCACTGGATGTATTAGAAAACCGTTTTTCTATTTCTCGAACACCTGTCTATCATATTGTGGGTGTTGATGGTTTCTGTATGACTGAAAACTACAAGTGTGCCGCAACACGCCATCAACTCTGCAGCTTTTCTTTGACTAATGTTCTTGCATTTGTTTTAACTCATGATTATGAAGTATCAGATAAATGTCCTTTTAATTTGGTGTATGGTAATTTTACTATGTTTTTGAATGACCATAAACATGGCAAAACAAACTAGTTCATCGTCTTGGTCTTCTGTGACAGCTTCAGCCAAAGAGCTCGTCTGAGCTGGAGATACTTGTGTAGGCTCCTGCAAGAGCAGCAAAAACAAATCTCCCCAAACTCAAATGTTCATCATAATGAAATCCTGAAAGATTCAAACACAATAGAAATACAGCAGAATGTGTAACCAGCTTAAGGCAGTAAGGATTAGCTAGTTCTAGAAAGAAAAATGCTTGATTTTTTGATCAAATGGAAGAATGGTTGATGTGAGAATAGAAAGTGAGAAAATAGAATGGCATTATTTTACTTATTTTACTGTCCGCTGTTATGCTAGGTCTACATTGATATTGTCAAGAAAGACATTTGCCCCCAGTTTCACAGACGAGGCTTAAGCTTAGTCCCAGACTAAAATGTAATTCTGGGCTGTTTCAACTGAAAGAAACTTGCACTGATTGATCTTAAAACATATCAGTGACCTTGTTTTGTCTCAAGATGCACACCAGTAAGGTTTTTTCTAAGGAACATTTATAAAAGATACTTAAATGTCCTAATTGAACTATGGCCTAAACCTGGCTTAGTCTGTGAAACCCGGCCTTAATGTTTGACACGACTTTTTAATGTTATGCAAACTGTTATTTATATAACATATCTGACTAACTAAAAAAAAAAAAAGCACCATTTCCATTACTTTTCCTTGTATGGAACATAATACTCTTGGTTTTCCTTGATTTTTCAGTAGCCCCTCACTGCAGAACACAAGATCCAGGGGGCGGGGTTGGATCCACATCTAGGGGGTGGAGATGGGTGGGTTTAGGGATCGGGGTGGAGACAGGTAGGTTTAGGTATATGTAAGGTGGGAGGAGTTGGATCTGGATCCACGCCCCCTGGATCTTGTGTTCTGCGGTGAGGACCATCTCTGGTTTTTCCGTGATAGTTCTCTCCCCAAACGTCTTTACTCCTTTAAAATGTGTGCAGCGTCTTCATGGAAATGCCACTACTGTGTGCTTTTAAGGAAGTGAAGTACAGCAGGTAACGCGTGTGTGTGTGAGTGATTTTGTGTGTGTGTGTGAGTGATTGTGTGTGTGTGTGTGTGAGTGATTGTGTGTGTGTGTGTGTTTGTGTGAGTGAGTGATTGTGTGTGTGTGTGTGTGTGTGTGTGTGTGTGTGAGAGAGAGCGCGTGTGTGTGAGAGA